ATAGAGTGCCCTCCCTATCACCGTTTGCTATGAACACACGTGACGGCTATACAAATCCGTGTGGGCGGCACCACCAACGGGATTAGAATGGAACTATCTAACCAACTTTGTTTAATAACTGAAAGGTTTAGCCGCTAACTATCTGAAAACAAAACGACATCGGTTGTAGTGTACCCAGCAGAAAAATGTCGCTCTGTAAATGAGTTTCTAAGAACGAGTACGTTGTAACACACAGTGACTGGTATTCACTGAACTGATTCATTTTGCCTACTGGGCCTATGCCCATGAGGTCTCTCCGCGCAGGTATTAGTATACAGTGTGATGTATCCCTCATTTTCAAAGGAACAGTAACTGGGATTCCAAAAGAAGTAAGCTGAATAGTTGGAAACACAAAAGTCGTTCGTACTACTGGTGAAAGGAAGAAGGCCTTCGCTACAAAGTTATTTATTGAACAGTTACAGACTATTGGACAAGGAAGTAAAACTCTCACAAGTATCTTGTTTCTAAAAACTGAGCATCCGCCTTCTTCTCGAACGTGTCTTCCCAAACTTTCCTGGGTACTCATTGACTATCACTCAAATTTAAACGAATGCTAGAAAGTGATTCCACAAATTCCTTAATAAATCTCACTTTTCAATATACGCGAAGCGGATTGACGAGAAAATTACGTACTACTCGCATTGGTTGTTGATCAGATGGCTGTTGATCTGTTCGCCGAGCTTGGCAATTGGCTTGCGCACTGATGATGTCTCCTCGTATGGTGGCGAAACGTTTGCAAGCCAATTGCCAAGCTCGGCGAGCAGATCAACAGCCGTCTGATCAACAACCAACAAACTCACCCGAGCTACCAATATTTCACCAGATTACCATACCACTTTCACGCCTCATCAGTAGTTCCCACCGTTACAAGTTACAAATTGGTAGCTCCAGAACATCAGCTTGCAAAGTGTCTGAATACAGCTTCATTTGTGGTAATTTGGATGGTTGTTCCTATAAAAACACAGGCAGTCAAGAGAGAACTACCCACCAAACTGCGCACTGATGATGTCTCCTCGTATGGTGGCGAAACGTTTGCAAGCCAATTGCCAAGCTCGGCGAGCAGATCAACAGCCGTCTGATCAACAACCAACAAACTCACCCGAGCTACCAATATTTCACCAGATTACCATACCACTTTCACGCCTCATCAGTAGTTCCCACCGTTACAAGTTACAAATTGGTAGCTCCAGAACTCTATTCTCACATATTTTTACATCATATTTTGGTTGCCCGCGTCCAGTATATCCAAACACCATCAAAATTCATGCTAAACCTGCGGGAAAACACTTAAGAGAGACAGAAATTTTCCCCCGACGAGGGTCCTTCCCCTCCACGGAGGGGGACGCAAATCAGAATAACCTAATTATACCAGAGGCCAACTGTTCAGTGAATATATTCGTTTGTGAAACAGGTGAAGAACAAATGTGAGCGGCTAATATGGTTTTCTCTTAAAACAAACATCAATTCTCAGGACCATAAGATATTTCCTTAAGGAAGCTTGCAGCGGATAAATTCACATCGGAGTGTTCGTTTCCCCTGAAAGCTAAGTTTTTTCCCCGAAAGCTTCTTTATTTAGAGATTCTGGTAAAGCACGAAAGTCAGAAAGTTAGAAGAAGGATGTCACTGAACATTTGAGAGGAAAAGAAGCAGTCACGCAACTAGTTATATGTGGCAAAGTGACATGGATCATCGCTTATCCTGACCTAATTGTACTTAGGAGAAAAATGGCTCTTCATCCCATAATAATGATGCTCTTCTTCGTGGCCTCTAGTCCGAGCTATTCAACAGCATTGAAAAGACAAAGCAATGAAAACGTTTATCCTCACATTTGCATATGATATAATCACTCTCAATCTGGTCCCTGTTGGAAGTCGCAGACTTCTCTCACAAAGCCGTCACAAGTAACAACAGTCAAGTGAATTTGAAATCGGTCAGTATGGATAAGACGCAAATTCTATCAAAGAAAAACTCGGAAATTGCAGTGGACGTAGAAATATACAACTTTCTGAACAAAATCAGACTGAATTAGGCCTTTAGATTTCAGGAAAGTTATTGGTTCTCAATGGCAGATAGATTTGAGAGTTCCTGAAAGGACACGGGTGTAAGACTGTTCACTAAAATAGAATAGATCAGTGGATTTCTTTAGAGAACTCTCACCAAAAAAGGATTGTAAATAGTGTCAAACACAAAAAAAGGTATGAATTTCTCTGAATTTCTCGGAAACAATGTTGTAATGCTGGAAAAAATCATTGAAGGGAAAGCAAGCAGAGCGAGGAAGTAACAACGCTGCCCGTAAGAAGAACTCGGCCGGTCACAGGAACAAGGTAAACGTTCGCAACGAGCGCTTTGCTCAAGTGTAAGACTATACGAGGACGCGAATCGTCACCACCGACAATATAACATCAGTGTTTATCATTGATGCTTCGTTGCCTTACAACCATGACCTAGTTGAAATCCCTATTGTGAATAAAAAAGTAAAAGTGGGTGGGAAAGAGACTTCGTGCTAGATTACTAAAACCACTCCGAGGTGCCTACACCTCCAGACACTCATTCAGGCAATGTGGATAGAGATTGACTACAAGAACGCCATATCTCGCAGCGCCTCCAACGAGGCACAGCGTGGACCACGTGGTTCCTATCCTGAAATTCGAGTTGCAACGACAGCACCTAATTTCTTAAAGGGAACTACTCACAAGGTTGCTGAAAACTTTTCGACAGCCCACGATCGGTTTCGCCTTTCTTGGGGCTCATCATCGTAATTTCGTCTATATCCCAAAATGAGCTGGGCTGAACATCGGCGTTAGGCTTAGTTGCTGAGTCCCAAGGAGATTGAATCAGTTAATGGGCTGTTCAGGATTTACATTGACATCACGTGCAGTATGGAAATTTAACAGCAGCATCGTGTGCTATGGTATACCAGGGGTATGGCAGTAGTAAAGTAGCATAATAAATTGTTATTGGTACCATCGCTTCACGGGACTATTAAAGATCGATCTCACTTGTCATTTGTCCGTCAAAATGTGATTGAAGGACGACTAGGGATTATTCACTTGTGATTCATCCAACTTCAGGAAGAGGCCAATTTCCCCGAAGTCAGGGGCATTAGGAAGGACTATGAGCTAAGGTTCTCGGACAAAGCTGTTGACCAGGCGAGCAAACTCTTAGCCAAGTTCTCACTCGTATAGTTACGCTTCATCACCACCACAGAATGCCGGTTACTGCTAGTGGCCAGAACGTAATACAACTGTGGTCGTTATCAGCAGAAAATATTTCAAACTACTAACTAGCAGAACACCCACCTAGTGCCATATTTCCTCAGCGTGGCCAGAAAATCAAGGTACGACGTGCTTAGTGTAATTCAAACCTATGCATTTTCCTTCATTAAGCACAGAGTTTCACCCTTTTCCCGGCAATCGTGTCAGAGCAATCAAATGTTTTGTGCAATCTTGCATCATATTTTGCGTCCAGTCTTTTCTCAACCAAGATAACCACATATTCAAAGCGTTTCTCGCACGTTAAAAGAGCTGGAAATCATCCATCGGATCGCTTATGATAACATACTGTTCTTGTGGCGTCATCAGTTAATATCGAAAGAGTTTTACGAATGAGAACAGACCGCAGTAGGTCACATGAGGATCATATATTTTCGTCCTTGTTCTAGTGTTCACTTGATTCTTTTTTCCATCAAACTGCTTATAACTCGCTGAACCGACAAATTATACTCGATTTAAAGGAAGTGACTCGTGAGGAACAGTGCGCTGGGTCATGTATCGTCATTTGACTGGTGAAACAATCAGGGGAACTAACTTTGTGATTGAATTGTGTGCATAAACCTGTCGGTTTGCTCTTCTTCCAAAAAGAATCTCAGACGAACGAACACGATCACAAAAATATGAAGCGATATGGAAAGTAAACCTAATATTATGACGCCGGGATTCTGTATAATTCATGCAACAAAGCACTGTATGAATCCCGCTGCTTGTTGACCTCGCTTGCACAATGAGAATTCAAAAACAACTTGTGTGCGATTTTGTTTCGTTCTTTCGTGCTGACATATGCGGTCACGAATGTTGAGTTTAGAATAAATACAAGCATACAGCAGTCTGCCGGAGCTCCTCGTTGTCTAACAGCGCGAATAACCATTGTCTCGGATGATAATGGTGGGGAAAAGCTCGATCACCGTAAGTTCGCATGGCAGATCCTTAACATCAGAACAACCAGTAAGATTGCTTTTCCAAAACGACCAAGTGTTTATTTGGGACCACTTTTTGGTAGCTCCGGAACATAAAACGCTAAATAGATATTTTCAGGTGCATTTGAAAACCAACCAATTTTTGCCAACACTCATAAAAATATATCGACCACAGAGCCTCAAAGTTATAATTAGGATATTCTGGCCTTTTTATCTTCAAATGCAGAATCAAGATTCGTGATTCTTCCAACATGATAGTGTGAAACGCATGTGGTTCGCGAACGTAAACGAATTTGTGGGTGACGGAGAGCAAAAACGGTTAAGCAAAAGTCAGCGAATTACAAACGGATAACCATACCTTAAAAACCTTCGATTTTAAGCGAGGGTAAGGAGATTACGGAGCCACTTGACCAGCTTAGTGTTGAGTGTGTGACATTTCTCGGCCAAGTGCCCGAATATTACAATCCCGTTACCGATGTCCTGGTTGTGACTAATATTACCAGTGCTTGCCAACTTTGTGCATCGGCAATGTATCGCTTGCATTTGTCCCCTTGATGGGTTTCAAACGCTAGTGCATTCACTTTACCAGTATACTGTGATTTGGGGTTACTAATGGATTTGCCAGAGTGGACCCTCACCACCGTTGTTCTTGTGTTGATGAATCATACCATGTACTGTAGAATTTCCAACAAAATGGTTTTGCAAAAGATTGCATGAATGGATCATATCTATGGGGTGAAATTGTGTTGATAGTAGACTGAGAACTCACTGTCACATTCGGTTACTGGGTAACCAGAGTACTTAAACTGTGTCTGAAATTTCATGGGGTCTGCAGCACCGCTGCCTATTCGCGTTCCATCGCAGTAGTATTGACCTTCCTTTAACGTCGTGTTCACGTCTGGTCCAGAAATGGCAGGCGGTTTATTCTTTTTAACCATGAATTTGCCGGGTTTGCATACTGCTGTCACAAGCGCTCTCGGAACTGTTGTGCTTGGTTCAAACCGCATTGTCTGTTCATCAAATCCGCCAGGAGGATTTTGACATCGAAGAACTGTTCATTAAAAATGCAGAATTGTTGGAAACTTCGAGATGGCGACATACATCTCGTGTTTTCTTATAGAATAATCTTTAAACTTACCGCCAGTTATCATCCAGTATATAAAGATATTACTGGGGTCGGCAAAACGTATGCCATCCCAAACATGGCATTTTTATGCCATTCCCGCTTAATACAGTTCCCAGTAAGCTATTTCCCGGTAGCGCTCCAATAAAGAGTAATACTTAAAAAAAAGCACGAACAAGACATTTTGTCGGATCCAACGAGAAACTCCAGTTTGAACCTTTGGTCTCCTAGGGGATCAGATGAGGTTTGGATAGGTTGAGGCCTCTAAACAAACTTTCGAACAAGAGGTGCGGCTTTTAACAAAATTTCTTGAGTTCCACCAATTCAGGGGAGCTATCAGAAAGGCCAGATTTCTGGAAGCAACCACCGAGTGCCCGAAATCTACTGAGACTATCAGCTCCGCTAGTTGTTGACCAGACAGACAACGTCCCCTCAGTATGCAGCGCTTCACAGCCTTGTATCGAACCCAGACAGCGCGAGTCAGCGTTGATCAAGGTCAGACAACGCCCCCGCAATATGCGGCGCGTCGCAGCCTCGTACCAAAGCCAGACCGCGTGCGTAAGCATTGGACCAAGTTCAGACAGTGTCCTTCCAATAAATAGCTTGAAGACGTCGTACTTTCGCACTCGCTTGTTCGGAATATGGCTGTCGTGTTCCCTTCTGTGAGTCTTTTTTCCGGGACTAGGCACTGGAGCGGGTCAGCAGCAGATACCACAGATCGGCGAATCAGCATATATAACAGAAACGATCACCCAATTCGGAACACTCAAAGAGGAGTGCGATACATAGATCCTGTATCCACCACGATTATCCAGCATTGTATTTTCTTGGGCCGATGGCATGGTGGATTTTTATTCTCGCCTCGTCTACACTTGTAATGTCTAGCTAGACGTCGTTTTGCTGAGTCTATTTGATGCGTCCAGGGGAAGGTGTTCGGTGGGCTTAAGTCACCAGGAAGGGAGTGCCGTTACCCGAGGAGCTTTAGAAATAGGTGAAAAATAAGGCATACTCACACCACATCATTATACTTCGAACTAACTCTACAGCGCGTCAGAAGAGAGTAGGTCAACAAAGCGATTTCATTCGAAGTAAAAATGCAACTAGAATGTAGCTTGTCATCCAATCATTGCTCCTAAGCATAGTTATGTGATCGACTCCACTTTGAGGAAGAAACGTCTTATATAGCTGAGATGCTCAAGTGAATGAGGAGTGCTTAGCCTACGTTGAAAATTCACTGAGGTATTATTCCATCTTTCAAAATATGACTGCTTTGTGTTTTACGTGCCTGCATTACTTTGTCTTTCCTGTTGCGCAATTCGTTTCCCTTGAATGGGGAGATGACGAGGAGTATGTATAGTGAGTTGTTGAGGTAGGAGTGGATAAGTAAAATTTGTTACGGGTTGCTATAGTGCCAACATAAGATAAATAAAAGGGTAAGCTCTATAGCTAATGATATGAATTTTCAACTACTTCCAAAAATTGGGGCCGAATTACTAGAATGAATACTCGTGAGCATGTGACTCTGTAACATATCGTTGTAGGTTCCCAGAATTCCGACAGAAGCATCTCTCAGCGTTAGCTGCTTCCGGCACCGGTTTACTTTGATGCTGGACAAAGCATCTCGTAAAAGTCAAATAGGAGAATGATGATTAGCGGATCGACCGAATAGTCAAACATTTGTAGCCATTATGAAAAATCTAAGCAGTGTGCCGGCCGGAGACCGTTTTTGGCCGGAAATTGTACAACGTTATCGGCGAGTTGGTCAGCAACGAAATGACGGTCTAACTAGTACGGCGAATCATAAAAGGTACCTTCATGTTCACAATAGTAGGCCCTCTCAAACGAACAGTCGACGTTTTGAATATTTAGTTGCAGTCCCCATTTCGACGTATCCTGATTAGTGTCCGTCTCGTAGGAAAACTCAATGCAGTCCCCCGGGCCGGCACCTCCGGACCAATCGAAGAATGAAAGATCTGCTGTCTCAGACTCGTCATCCCATTTGAATTCAGCGGTACCTGCTGTATAGTTGGGAAGAAACATCAAAGTGTTGAGAACCAAAATTCTAGCAGATGTCTGTCCAACTGGCCGAATTCGACCACTCACTGGGGTCACTAATCAAATCCATCTAATAACCTTAACCAACACTGATTTTATGGTAGAATGTCAAACCAGAAGTTTTTCGCCTCAGTCAATCTAATCTGCACAGCTGCAACAAAAGTTGGATCCAATATAATTACTCCTCGTAGGGCAGTCATCATGTTAAAACTACTGTCTTATAAAAGTTGCCTTCGCATAACCCCAGCAACCG